TAGCATGGAAATACCTTGCTCATTACCAGACTTTTCTCTCTGAGTTTTAGCATCCATTGATGATTCTTGCCTGGATCAATTATTACCACGATGATTGCAAAATGGTGATTTTTCTAACTCCATCATTCATTTTATATTTATTAGTTATCATTCTACTGTAAGGAAGAGCTTTCTCTTATTTATTAATATATACTCAGGATTTCTTAATTTAGTAAATGGTTTATAATCTGTTACTTTTGTTATTTATGTTAATGTCCTTATTGTCCCAGGGGAAGCCCCTCAACCTGCACTTTATTTATTCTTTTAACAAATCCCCATCATTTTTTGCACTTTCTTACTTTTTGGTACAACCACATGTTCCATGTTCATGTTGTGTGAACAAGAATCAAACATCTCTCCAAGGAGCCTCATTTCCTGTAATGGAGAACACAGTTTAGAAACTAGGATCTCTGTGCTAGGGTTGCTGGGGAGTCATTACCTCTAGCCATTCACAGCATACAAAGCTAGAGAAGGGCTTACATACACACATACACCTATATTTGTAGCTACCTGTTTGACATCATGGGTTCATACTGATATCCGTAATTTCAGTCAAAACTCATAGAGTTCTTTCTAGTCTTTCTTCTTCCCACTTTTGGAACTCCCTTCTTTAACAGCAAAAAAGGCGACTCCCATGGTCCTCAACATATTTCCTCACTTGCTTAATTCTTCATTATAATGAAAGCAGTTTCAGAATTGTTAATGCGTACCACTGCAAAAAAGAAACACATATATTAATTAGAATTCAATATATATTTATGCTTCTTTTGGTCTTTAGCCTGAGAGTATGTATTAGTTTCTTAGGATTACTATAATAAATTACCACACAGTTAGTAGCTTAACAGCAGAAATTCTTTCACATTTCTGGAGGCCAGAAGTCTTGGAATCAAGGTACTGACACAGCCATGCTCTGTCCAGTGGCTCTAGGGGAATCCTTTCTTACCATTTCCAGCTTCTGGTGATTTCAGGTGTTCCTTGGCTTGTGGCAGTATAACTCCAGTCTCTGTCTTCATCTTCTCAGAGCTTTCTTCTCTTTGTGTCTTCTCCTCTTCTGACTCTTTAGGGTCATGTTTCCAACTTCCAGTGGTTAGGACATGAGTATTCCTTGGTGGTTAAATGAGCTACCATTTAACCCAGTACAGGGTATACAGTTACTTGAGTTATTACCTTCAGTTTATTCTTTCAGTGTATTTATTGTTCATTTGAAATACAGTAGGGTTCATTTGTTTCTGTTTATATTGAATTTTAGGTTTTTCCCAGCCTTATTTGTTTGTTTTTGAATATGCAAAACATCAGTTTCAGAAATCTGATAACAAGTTAATAGATATGGAATTATAAATTGTGATTCTTATTAAGGAAATGGACAGGTGCACTGGAAGAGAACAACAGAATGGGCCATATAGACTCAGAGATAGGGCTAGGTCATACTTATTTGAATAAGTGGAAAAGCATACTTATTTGAATAAGGCCTTGATTCAGGAAAAAAGCTGGTTGTATTGGAGGAAATGAAAGAAGGCCAGTGGATTCATGTCTGTTGGGGAAGAGGGAGGACAAAATAAGTGCAGTTGTAGAGAAGGCAGGAGCCTGAACATGTGACTCGTTGTAGACTATGTAAAGAGGTTGGAGAGCCAGTAGAGAACAATAACTAGTGGTGGTTTTAGAAGTTTATTTTACATATATATATATTTTTTTCTTTCATAGTTTATTGTCAAGTTGGTTTCCATGTAACACCCAGTTCTCACCCCAACAAGTGCCGTTTTCCATGCCCACCACCCCCCCTTCCCCCCCCCCCCCCCCCCTGTCAAGTTGGTTTCCATGTAACACCCAGTTCTCACCCCAACAAGTGCCGTTTTCCATGCCCACCACCCCCCTTCCCCCCTCCCCCAGCCCCATGAGCCCTCACTTTGTTCTCAGCATTCAAGAGTTTCTCATGGTGTGTCTCCCTCCCTCTTCCCAACTATTTTTCCCCTTCTCCTCCCCCATGGTCCTCCGTTAAGTTCCTCCTAATCCACCTATATGTGCAAACATATGGTATCTGTCCTTCTCTGCCTGAATTATTTCGCTAAGCATAACACCCTCAAGTTCCATCCACATTGCTACAAAAGACCAGATTTCATTCTTTCTCATTGCCATGGAGTATTCCATTGTATAGATAAACCACATCTTCTTGATCCATTTGTCCGTTGATGGACACTTAGGCTCTTTCCATGATTTGGCCATTGTTGAGAGTGCTGCTATGAACATTGGGGTACATGTGCCCCTATGCATCAGCATAGGTATCCCTTGGGTAAATTCCTAGCAGTGCTATTGCTGGGTCATAGGGGAGTTCTACTGTTAATTTTTTGAGGAACCTCAACACTGTTTTCCAGAGGGGCTGCACCAGTATACATTCCCACCAACAGTGTAGGAGGGTATTTTTATACACTCTTAAAAGTTTATTTATCTAACAATAGAACTCCCCTATGACCCAGCAATAGCACTGCTAGGAATTTACCCAAGGGATACAGAAATGCTGAGGCATAGGAGCACATGTACCCCAATGTTCATAGCAGCACTCTCAACAATAGCTAAAACATGGAAAGAGCCTAAGTGTCCATCAACGGACGAATGGATCAAGAAGATGTGGTTTATCTATACCATGGAATACTACATGGCAATGAGAAACAATGAAATCTGGCCATGTGTAGCAACATGGATGGACCTTGAGGGTGTTATGCTGAGCGAAATAAGTCAGGCAGAGAAGGACAAATATCATATGTTTGCACGTATAGGAGGATTAGGAGGAACTTGATGGAGGAACAAGTGGGGGAAGAAGGGCGGAAATGGTGGGGGAAAAGGAGAGAGGCAAACCATGAGAGACTCTTGAATGCTGACAAAAACTGAGGACTGATGGATGTGGGGGGGAGGGGGGATGGGCATGGAGGAGGGCACTTGTGGGGATGAGCACTGAGTGTTATGTGGAAACTAATTTGACAATAAACTATTTGTACAAAAAAAATAAAATAAATAAAAAAATAAGTTTATTTATTTATTTATTCTGAGAGAGAGAGAGAAAGAGAGAGAGAGAGAGAGAGATTGATTCCCAAGTAGGCTCTGTGCTTGGTGGCAAGCTCAACACAAGGCTTGATCTCACGACCGTGAGATCATGACCTAAACCGAAATCAAGAGTCGGATACTTAACCAACTGAGCCATCCAAGCACCCCAGAAGTATATTTTTAAAAGACTGTATTGGCTCAGTTGGTTAAGCGTCTGACTCCGGCTCAGTTTGTGATCTCACGGTTCATGGGTTCGAGCCCTGCATCAGGTTCTGTGCTGACAGCTCAGAGCCGGGACCCTGTTTCAGATTCTGTGTCTCCCTCTCCCTCTGCCCCTCCCTACTCGTGTTCTGTCTCCCTCTGCCTCAAAAATTAATAAAAACAAAAAAACAAGACTGTATTGTTGCTAGGTGGAGCACATGATGCAAGTATAAAAGTGGAGAGAATAGTGACAGACGTGTTTAGTGTGTAATAACTGAGATAATGTTGGGTTCTACAAGAGTTGTAGTGGTGGATAATGAGAAAAGTAGATAGATTTAAGATGTATTTTGGGTTGAACTGACAGGACTAACTAAGGATTGTATTTAGTTGGACAGAGAGGGTTTTAGGTTTATGGTTATTGTAGTATTTAAGGATGACTCCCACGTTTGTAATTTTAGCAACTAGGAAAGAAGTTGATTGCAAATGAAGTGGACAGTAAGAAGCAAATTTCCCTATTAGACCTATTATTATGTTTGAAATGCCTAAGACATGCAAATGGAAATGTCAAGTTGATAGTTAGATATACAGGAGAGGAAAGTGGAATCCAAGACTTCCCTTCTGGTACCATTACTTCAGTTCATGCTTCCCTGCTGCATATCTGTGATCCCCTTTTGTACCCAGTAAAGATAACAGATTTCAGGAGTTGACCAGGTGTTGTGGGCAACTTGGACTGTAGATGGTCTCCAGGTTTATGTGTGGGTACTCCAGTTCCAATTCATTCTTTCCAGAGAGATACAGTTATTTTCCTTTAAATCATTTAAAGATACACATTTTGCTTCTTATAGCCCAGTTTTATTTTGGACCCTTTCAGAATGAGAGATTTTTCAGTTATTAGGTATTAGGCTCTTTTTTGCCCCATCTGAACATACTGTATGAGGTCACTCTAGCTGACTTTGCACCTAGAAGGGGAATGTGTGTGTATGTGTGTATTTATGTTTGATATGTACTCTGTGTGTGTCAGTTCGTATACCAACATCACATTGTTTTAATTACAGTATTTTTTTTTTATTATGTTCTATACTTAGTAGGGCTAATCTTTTTTTTTTTTTTTTTTTACAAATAGTTTATTGTCAAATTAGTTTCTACATAACACTCAGTGCTCATCTCCAAAGTGAGTAGGGCTAATCTTGAATCATTTTAAAGATGTCTCTCCTTTTCTCACAGATTTATTCTTACAGATATATGGTAGAATCAAGATTGTGGACACATTTTTAAGAAGTGCAGATTTTTCCCTTTACCCTCTTGGTTTTACCTTGATTATTTGCAAATACTTTCTAGTCTTCTTTTCCATTGAGAAGAGAGTCTTTAAAGAAGGGTCTATCTGTCTCTTATTATGGGTTTTTCCATTTATTTCTTTCTTAAAGAGAGGCTGTCAATTTCCTTTATGTTTCCTTCCTTATTAAGCACCCGTTCTATATAAGCACTGAGTTAATTTCTGGGCAGAATAATTATATGGTGAATTAAACAAAGTGAAATAAACAAAGCATGTTATGAAATAAAATTGACGTAGCATAATATGTTTAATATTATAGTTTAATAAAATAGTGTGATCTTGGGAGGACTAAAAAGTTTAACTTTAAAGCATGATATGTCAGTTTCTGGTCATTTTGTTTATTTTTAAATCTTTTTTAAATATCTTTTTTCATGTATTTTTATTTTTTAAGGGTCATACAGCAATGCTTCATACTGGCTCATGGCATCCCAAAATAAAAGGAGAATTTATGACTTGCTCAAATGATGCGTGAGTACTATTGATAATTCATCTAGTACATTAATATCTTTTAGTGTTTTCTTTAACATTTGTATTGTTACAAACTTGCCTGTAAAGTAAGAGATAGAGTATTAGGGATCCTGATGTTTATGACTTCTTATTCTTGGTTTCCTTTTTTAAAGTTTTTACTTTTATTCCAGTTATCATATAGTATAATATTACGTCTTTAAAAACATTTTTAATGTTTATTATTTTGAGAGACAGAGAGAGACAGAGCATGCTTAGGGGAGGGGCAGAGAAAGAGGGAGACACAGAATCTGAAGCAGGCTCCAAGGCTCTGAGCTGTCAGCACAGAGCCCAGTTTTCATTTATACGATATAGTGATTCCACACTTTCATACAACACCTGGTACTTATCACATAAGTACACTCCTTAATCCCCATCACCAATTTCACCCATCCTCCCACCCACCTCCCTCTGACAACCATTAGTTTGTTCTCTATAGTTAAGAGTCTGTTTCATGGTTTGTCTTTCTCTTTTTTAATTTCTTTGTCCATTTGTTTTATATCTTAAATTCCACATGTGAATGAAGTCGTGTGGTATTTGTGTTTCTCTCTCTGGTTTATTTTACTTATCATAATACTCTATAGGTCCATTCTGGTTTTTGGAAATGTCAAGATTTCATACTTTTTAATGGCCAAGTATTATTCCAGTGTGTTGTGTGTGTGTCTGGGTGCACGCGCGCGTGTGGGTTTGTGAGTGGAAAAAAAGGCACAGCTGGAGGTATCACAATACTGGACTTCAAGTTAGATTACAAAGTTGTAGTCATCAAAAACTGTGTGGTACCAGCACAAAAATAGACATATAGATCAATGAAACAGAATAGAAAACTCAGGAATAAACCCAAAATTATGTGGTCAATTAATCTTTGACAAAGCAGGAAAGAATAGGCAATGGGAAAAAGTCTCTTCAACAAATGATGTTTGGTGAAAACTGGACAGCACCATGCTAAAAGACAACCTATTGAATGGGAGAAGATACTTGCAAATAACTTATCCACTAAAGGGTTAGTATCCAAAATATATAAAGAACTTATATAATTTAACACCTAAAAATGAATAGTCCAATTAAAAATAGAAGACATGAACACATATTTCTCCAAAGAAGACATCCAGATGGCCAATAGACACATGAAAAGATGCTCAACATCACTCATCATCAGAGAAATGCAAATCAAAGCCACACTGAAATGCCAGCTTATATCTGTCAGAATGACAAGAATCAAAAAGATAAGAAGTAATAAGTGTTGGCCAGGATGTGGAGAAAAAGGAACCCCTGTGCGCTCTTGGTGGGAGTGTAAACTGGTGCAGCCACCCGGGAAAGCAGTCTGGACTTTCCTTAGAAAGTTAAAAATACAACTATTTTATGGCTCAGTAATTGCACTACTGGGTATTTAACCCAAAATACAAAAGACTAATTAAAAGGGATACATGAAGTTCTATGTTTATAGCATGTTTATTTATAATAGCCGAATTATGGAGGCAGCTCAAGTCTCCACTGATAGATGAATGGAGAAAGAAGATGTGGTATATGTGTACAATGGAATATTATTGAGCCATAAAAAAGATGCAATCTTGCCATTTGCAATGATGTGAACGGAGCTAGCATATTATAAAGCTAAGCCAAATAAACCAATCAGAGAAAGAGAAGTATCATACGATTTCATTTCATATGTGGAATTTAAGAAACAAAAAAGAAAAAAAAGAGAGAGAGAGACAAATCAATGGACTTTTCTCTTGTATTCATTTCTATTAGGTTTTGGAACCAAGATTATACTGGTTTCCTAAGGCAGCTTTCCCTTTTTTTTCCTATTTCCTGGCATCCATGTCCAAGTTCATAAACATGCCTGTAACCTTATGCAACTGTCAAGGTCATCCAACAAGTTGAATTAAAATCCACACCAAGAATTCTAATATAGAAAGTATTTTAGAAGACTTATTTTATTTTTGACTACAGTTTCTCAGATATTTTTGGAAGAAATATATTTAATAAATTTAGAATAAATATTAGAAGTAAGCAGGAGGAATTTAGAAGAAAATGCTTTGATAGAAAAAATTCAGAAAAGTATCTGTGATGTTATATTAATTGTACTAATATTGTTATACTTCAGTTTAATTGTCAAACCAGTATTTTCCGTTGTAACATTAGAAGATACTCTTTTTTTTTTAAAGAAAAAAAATTTTTTAATGTCTTTAATTTGAGAGACAGTGAGCAGGGGAGGGGCAGAGAGAGAGAAAGAGAGAGAGATTGACAGAGAGAGAAGAGACACAGAATCCGAAGCAGGCTCCAGGCTCTGAGCTGTCAGTACAGAGCCCGACGCGGGGCTTGAATCCACGGACTTTGAGATCATGACCTGAGCAGAAGTTGGACGCCTAACTGACTGAGCCACCCAGACGCCCAGAAGATATTCTAAATAGGTTTTAGGTAAAAAAAATAATAACCATGGTATATTGGTTACTCTCCATCACACTGAAAAATACACAGTGCTAATTAACACGTGCTTGTCAGGTTATGGTTACCAGTAGTGTAGGAGTAGAGGGGAATCCTGTCCAGGTCAAAACGAGCCTTTCCTGTAAGTCACATACATTATGAATAAGTTTAGATACATTAGGAGTGAAGAACCAGATAGCTTTTGTGAGAAACTATTCCATTGGAGGTGAAGGCGGTGCTTACTATTTTGTTCTGGCCTCCTGTATGCCCAGTTAAATTATGATGTTAATTTGGAGTATGAGTTGGAGATGCTGGTACCTTAAACTTTTGATTTTATGCATTTCAGTATTAAACACAAACCTGAGATCAGGCCAATTTAGGAATGAAATGAGGAGGAAGAGGGTAATATGGAAATCTTTTTGGTTTTCCTGAGTTTATCAGAATGAAGCATATAATAAGGCAGAGGTTACTACATTATACTTGGAAGTAAATGTTAATGAAAACCAGATGGTATTGAAGATAAAAATGCTTACTTATTCAGAGGAAGTCAGTTCTACTTGTGAATTTATATGATCTGATTTATAATTTGTAGTGCACAGAGTGAAAGTACAAATGATACTACACTAGTGTAATCTGAGTCCTTGGTGCAGAATTTGTACTGAGCAGATTCAAGCCCAGCACAGGCTCTGTCCATAGGTACTGCTGAGTGAGTCAGATGCTTCCATTATGTACCTGGAGGGTTTTCTATTGCTTACTCAGGAATTTGTATCTCAGAAGAATTTGTTCATATCTATTATAACTACTCCTATATGAAGTTAACAATGAGGAAAAAGCAGAAAAATAATGAAGTGCACAGACAAACATTTCACAGTGAGTGGCTGCAGAAAAATAGACAGTGTTAGGTAAGAATAGCTGAGGAGGTGACAAGACTTCAATGTAATGTCTCCTTTTGAAGTCAGGGGAGGGAGGACATATAGAAGAATAGTTAGGCAGTGGTAGGGCCCGTGCTACTTACAAAAAAACAAAACAAAATGGGCACTTAGAAAGTGGGTTTAGGCTGGAGTTAAAGAGGAGGAACTGGTGTATATCACAAAATAGCCACGAGATCCATTTGTAAATACTTGTGAAAAATGACTCCCAAGTACTGAATGAATCTTTGAGGGCTAGAATTCTGCAATAGCTAGCAGAATTAAGAACTATATATATATATATATATATATGGCAGAATAAGACCAATAGTTACTCCAAGGTACAGTGATCTGAGGAAAAGTCAGGCTGCTCATGTAGTATTAAAAATGTTCACTAACAATGGCTCAGGTGGGTACAGGAAACATAGAAAAAGAGTTGTTAATGACACTTGCTTGAAAGAATCAGGGAAAGCTTTACACTAGGGTTTGTAATATGTGTACAGTAATCTCCCTTATCCACAGGGGATATATCCCAAGATCCACAGTGGACGCCTGAAACCATTGATAGTACCAAGTCCTGCATGTACTATGTTTTTCCTGTACATAATTACCTGTGAGGAAGTTTAATTTATAAAAAACACACAGTAAGAGATTAACAACAGCAATGAATAATAAATAGAAAAATTACAATATACTGTAATAAAAGTTATGTAAGGGGTGCCTGGGTGATTCAGTCAGTTAAGTGGGTGACTCAGTTGATTAAGCGTCTGACTCTTAATTTCAGCTCGGGTCATGATCTCATGGTCCACAAGTTCAAGGCCTGCATCAGGCTCTCCAGTGACAGTGCAGAGCCTGCTTGGGATTCTCTTTCTCTCCCTCTCTCTCTGTCCCTCCCTCCCTCAAAATAAATAAATAAACTTTAAAAAATTTATTTAAAAAAGTTATGTGAGTGTGCTGTCTCTCTTAAAGTATCTTACTGTACTGTACTTACCCTTCTGGTGACAGTGCAAGATGGTAAAATGCTTACATGATAAGATGATATGAGGTTTCTGACATAAGCATTGTGCTATGTGCATTAGGTTGCTTTTGACCTTCTGATGATATGTTAGAAGGAGGATCATTTTCTTTTGGACCAGGTTGACCATGAGTAACTGAACCATGGAAAGTGAAACTATAGATAAGGAGGGGATTCCTGTATTGATATAAATTCCTTTTGTGGAAAAGTAGGGAAGTGATGAGAGAGGACATGGACTTAGAGAAGAATATAGGGAAATCTTAATTTGGGCACTCTAGGATGTTAGGATATAGAACATGCAAAATATATAGTGAACCACAATTAGGTAATTTTATCTATGAACAAAAGAAATAGCCTCATATTAGGGTTTATAATTTACACTGTGAAATGAGTATTTAGAGACATTAAAATCTAGTCCATTTTGTTTTCTTTTGAGCAACTGAGTATTGTGAAATGTGTATGCCATGAAAGAATAAAATTAGGTGGATGCTCTAAATTAAAGGATTCATGGCAAGCATAGAAACCATTTAATTTGTGAACGTTGGTTTGATTTTCTTTCTTCTGAAGGAGGAGAGGAAAGAGAGGGAGGGAAAGAAGGACAAACCAAAAAAAAAAAA